AGCCAAATAAATAAGTTGGGGGAAAAAAAAATAGAGTGATTTACAGCCAGGCCCGGGAAGCTGGGGGAAGGATGGAGTTGAGGGATGAAGTTGGGGGAGGGACACTGGGTGGTCAGGGTGTTTGAGAAACCTCAGGCCAGGTGGGGGGATGGAAGGGCCACCAAGGGCAGGATGGTGATGGGACCACTGCCTCCAGCAGGCTGACTCCCACAGGCCCACCTTCAGGCTCTGGGATCTGGTGACGGGCGGAGGGAGGCCTGCCTTCAGCCTGCCCAGCGCTGCAGGGAGGGCTGATTGGAGCCAGCAGCCAGAGCCAGCGGGGGTGGGCAGGGCTCTGCGTGTTCAGACCCATGGGGGACGCCAACCCCAGGCTTCGCCACACCTCCCAGGTCCCCTCCCTCATTGCATCAGTTACCTTCAGGAAGTTTGCCAGTTAGTTAGTGAATTCCGAATCGCTGCTCCCAGAGGAAATGCAAGGTGGGGTTTCTGCGAGCCTCTGGTCACAACACGCTCATCAACCTTGGGATTCCCTGGTGGTCCAGTGGCTGGGACTCCAGGCTCCCAACGCGGGGGACCTGGGTCTAATCCCTGGTTGGGGAACTAGATGCCACATGCCTCAACTAAGCGTCCACACACTGCAGCTAACGATCCTTTTGATGCTGCATTGAAGACCAGGTGCTACAAAATGAATAAATAAATATTTAGGGAAAAAACGCAACCGTGTGTGATGGGTGCTTCTGTTTAAAGACACCTTGTGTTATGCACATATGATTCATTAATCTGGAACTGTCACTGGTGCCATTCCTAAGCTCACCTGACACATCCATTGTCTCCATAAGGCCGTCACAGCCTTCTAGAGCTTGGCTGCACCAGATGGCCCTCAGCTCTTCGCTTGGGGACCATATTAAGCTGCAAAATCGCCACCAAAAGGAACCAAAATGTGAAACAAATAAGTAAACTGATGACAGAAAGGACCCTTGTTTACAGCAGGGACTGAGACAAGAAGGCACAGCTGTCCAACCACAGCTGGGAACGGCAGGTGTGGGGCGACGTGAACATTTTGGCTGCTCTGCAGATATCCATGAAAGGCCAAAAAAAGAGCTGTGAGCATTAATCTGGATTTATAAATATGCTCTAGTGAGTTCTAGGTGAGTTCGTGAATACAGAACCATAAACAATGAGGATGGTTGAGTGTTTCTTTCCTTTCTGAGCTGGTCTCTCATTGTCTGTGACTTTCTCACTTGTCTCCCAACCAGTGGTTTGGCTGTTTCCTGCCCAATAAGATGAACAATCCTAGGACTGTTCCTACTGAAGATTTATAGGTCAAGCAGACCTACCTCTGACATTTGCAAGTGGCATGGGTTTGACCCACTATCCCAGTTTGTCTGGGACCGAAAGTTTTCCCAGGATGTAGGACTTCCAAGTGCCTAAACCAGGGAAGTCCCTGGCAAGCTGAGCTGAGTTGGACACTACATAAATATGTGAAAAAAATCTAAAGTTTTTAAATCTAAATTATTTAATGTGGCTGAAAGTTGAAACCTTATTCAATACTTTTATCAAGATAAATCTGTTTGCAACACTACCGTCCCACTCTCAACTAGCTGCCAAGTAAAGAGTAATAGGTTTCATGCCTTACAGTCAGGCCAGTGAACTAACCAGCTTAGTAGCAACAGGAGTTTCTTAACACCACAAACTGTTCCTCAGCCTTTGGGTACAGCTACTGCCAAAAGAGCCCACATTTTATCATGATAGCATGACGTTTAGATCACGAAGTTCAGCAGGGAATGGACACTTGCTATGTCTGGGTAATGCCACTGTGCGCCATGTACCTTAATTGGCCCCAGACTACCAGACAGAGCTCTGACCTGGTCATTCCTAAATGCTTTGGCTGGCAGTCAAATTCTTGTTCTGTGAGTTCTTCTAGCAAGTCCTCGGGAGGGTGGTGGGACCCCGGGGACCCGCTGTGCCACTGGCGTCTGTTGTGGGGCCAGTCTTGTGGACTGAGCCCGTCAGCCATGGGGACCGTGTTAACTCTGGGTAAGCAGGGTCAGAACTGAGCGGAATGTTGGCCACCCAGCTGGTGCTTCTGAGAGTTGTTGAAGTGGTGTTGGAAAAGGTTCAACATGCTTGATGTCAGAAGCTTGGTGGGAAAAACAGCATGAAAGCGTTATTCACTTAGTCGTGTCTGACTCTTTGCAACCCCGTGGAATGTAACCCACCAGGCTCCTCTGACCATGGCATTCTCCAGGCAAGAACACTGGAGTGGGTAGCCATTCCCTTCTCCAGGGGATCTTCCTGATCCAGGGATCAAACGCAGGTTTCCTGCCTCGGCAGGCAGGTTCCTTACGTTCTGAGCCACCAGGAAGGCCATAAAAACAGCCTAACCTCAGGACTTCCCAGAGAGTGTTAACACAGGTTATCCACGCCTCCACTGCAGGGTGCCCGGGTTCAATCCCTGGTTGAGGAACTAATATTCGTCACACCTTGCAGTGTGGCCAAAAAACCCCCAAAACCAAAACTGCCTACTCTCACATGCTTAAGGAAACTAAGCTAAGAGGTAAAAGATGCCTGTACAAATCTACCTCTTCTGAGGAGTGCCGAAGCCTGCTTCTGGCCTGAGTCATCCCTGCTGGCTCAAATGGTAAAGAGTCCGCCTGCAGTGCGGGAGACCTGGGTTCGATCCCTGGGTTGGGAAGATCACCTGGAGAAGGAAATGGCAACCCACTTCAGTATTCTTGCTGGAAATTTCCACGGACGGAGGAGCCGAGCATGCTAGAGTCCATGGGGCCGCAAAGAGTCGGACACGGCTGAAGCGACTAACCCAACAGCACTGATCCCATATCAAAGCTCACAGCCTGCCCTGCAGGAGCACTGGGCAAGGGGCTGAGAGAGCTGGGACCGGGGCCCCTGCTCAGACCTTTCTTCTCTTTGTTTGGGCACAAGGGTGTCCGCTTGCTGTCCATGTGACAAAGAGGTCACTCTCAGCCCTGCTCCTTTCCCACCTTGATCCGGGTCACGCTAGGGAGCACAGATGTCCCTGGCAGCTGCCATGAATGTGCATCCATGCATTGGAAGAGAACACAAAGGCCAGTGGCTGTTGGCAGGGCCTCTCATCTGGAACCTGCATTCACAGCCTCGAATTTTAGTCCTAAGAGCAGCTACGCAACACAGCAGGGCTGGCGGGGGCAGGAGTGCCCGGTAAGGGGCAGGAGTCGTCGAGAGATTGTGGACCCAGCAGACCCTGCCAACAGCCTCAGTTTTCCCACCCAGAAATTTCATTTCTGTCCCAGCCCTGAGTGTAGGGCAGGTTTGGAGGGCAGTCAGTCGGGGCAGGCCTGTGAGTTCTGCCCCACCCTCACCCTAGCCAAGGCAGCATGGTCCAGGACAGACAGAGAGACCACCCCTTTCCTCGCGTTGGACCTCCATCAGTGAAGTGTCTGTGTGAGGTCGCTGTTGGTCCAAGTGGTCACTCGGGTCTGCAGCTCCCACATCCCAGGGTCTGGTCCATAGAGGCGAGACAGAATGGCTCACCCTGGGGGTCTGCAGTCCCTGAAGCAGCCCAGCCTCAGCCTCTGCCCAGATCCTGGCACGGCCCTGCCCCATCCCTCCAGGCACAGGCTCAGCTGGACCAGGGGACGTCTCAGACTTGGGAAACTCTGTGGGTGGGGGTCATGCATAACCAATGTGGTCAGGCCACAGGTGACATTTGGAATCCTGGCAGCATCTCCACCAGTGGTTTTACAGATGAGGATTACAGAGAGGGGGAGGCCGATCCCAAGGCCCACACTCTGCACCCCACGTGGGCTTGGTGGAGCAGGGAGCGGCGTTTCTGTCCACAAAACAGGGGGTGGGATGGCCCAGTGACCGGGTTGCTGGCTGTGCAACTCTGGGCAAGAGCCTAACCTGCCTTTGCAGGCTGCTATGGAAATTCTCTGTGCAGTGCCGTCCCAGAGTCCATGGGGATCCCAGGCACTTCTTAAGGGCCCGAGCCTCCGGAACCACAAACCCTGCACCGCCCACGCTACCCAACCCCAAGAACCTGTTATGTACAATTTTGACTTAGAAGTGAAGTTTTGAAAGGGACCTTCATGTCATCATCATTCAGTGAAAAATCTCCACCATTTGCCATGGACCAAAGACATCATGCAAAAACTTGCAGGAAGTCAAAGACATGAAATTCTATTTAGATGCTGGTGCCTACTGCAAGCTTGCTTCCTCCTGTAAAAAGGTAAATGAATACTCTGTCAGAAGGATATTAAGAACCTAAGTGGCGGACTCCCTTGGTGGCTCAGTGGATAAGAAACTGCCCCCTAACACAGGCCACAGGAGTTCTATCCCTGGTCCAGGAAGATTCCACCGGCTGCGGAGAAACTAAGCCCCTGGACCCCAACTACTGAAGCCCACGTCCTAAAAGTCCACGCGCTGCAACTCCTGAGCCTAAGTGTGGCAACTGCTGAAGCCGGTGTGCCTGGGGCCTGCGCTCGGCAACAAGAGAAGGCACTGCAAGAAGAACCCATGCACTGCAGGGAAGAGGAGGTCCCCTGGGGCAGCAAAGCAGACACAGGGCTACCGAAAATTATAAAATAAAATAAATAAAAATTTAAACAAAGAACGTTAAGTAGGCAGCCGTAAAGTTCTAACTGGTTTAAGGGATGAAAAGGAACCGGCAAAGGACCGCTCCATCTCCACTGTCTAGGCAGCTGCGGGAACCTCCCTCTCCACCCTCACCTGGCTCAGGTCTTCAGCTCTCCTCTCCTCCGCCGGGTCCAGACCCCTCCCAGCCTTCCGCCTCCGTGGAGGGCGGGGTGGCCGCGCTGCCCGCATTGGGCCGCCCGGAGGCTCACTCGCCTGGTCCGAGCGGGGCGGGGCCGGGGCCGGTGACGTCGCGCCGGGAATAACCCGGGCTGCTGCGCCCAGACCCGGCAGAGAAACAGGGCGGGCGCCAGACATAGCCTGGGCGCGCTCGGACCCCGGCCCCGCCGCCCCAACCCGTCGCCGCTATGTACGACCCCGAGCGCGGCTGGAGCCTGTCCTTCGCCGGCTGCGGCTTCCTGGCCTTCTACTACGTCGGGGTGACCAGCTGCCTGAGCGAGCGCGCCCCGCACCTCCTTCGCCACGCGCGCAAGTTCTTTGGCGCCTCGGGGGGCGCGCTGTACTGCGCCCTCTACCTCGCCGGGATCCCGCTGGGTAGGTCCCGGGCTCCGCGCCGGGATGGGGCGTGCGCTGGGAGCCGGGGCTGGAAGCGGGCCCTGCGCGTGTAAACGCGGGGTCTCCCCCCAAACAGTTGCGTCCTCCAGTGCATCTTTTTCGCCCAGCGCCTGGGAGCCTTGGAAGCGGGGCCTGGAAACCCGGAGCACATCCTCGCCTCACCACCCTTTTGGTGCACAGTCTTGGAGCTAGTCCCCCACCCCACTCTAGAGCCAGGTGGTCTAAGCGACGGGGAGGAGGGGGCATGAGGGATCCCGGGAGCGGAATTCCCATTTGCCCTAAGTGCGGCCAGGAGGAAGGTTTGGGGCTGTGTCCCAGGCAGGGGTGGGTACCTTCTTCCCTCTGGGGACTCCAGGGGCTTAGACACCCCCCTCCCCGCCGCCCCTGGGGGCCTTTGAACTCCGCCCAACCCTGGGGCTAAGGCGGACACCTGGGTGCCTCTCAGGTAGAAGGCAGCTAGCTGGTTTGGGGTGAAAGGGTGTTGAGGAGAGATGTTTTGGGGAGAGGAGAGGAATTAGGAAAGTTGTCTCCTCTCCTTTCCTGGTGTTTGAGACCCTTTGGGGGACTGGACATTCCCATCCCATCTTCCCCACCACGTCCCTGCACAATGCCCTGGAAACAGGTCCTGGGTGTTTCAGTCTTGTCCTAGTGAAGGTCTCCGTCCACGTGGAAACCGGAGGGAGGGGAGGACCGAGGCTGGTGGCCAGTGGGCCTGAATTACTAGGGTCTGGCATCCTTGGCCTGCTGTTTTGGCCAGGGAGCAGAGCCTGGAGCGAGTGCGGCTGTTGGCGCCCACACAGGGCGATAGAGCTTCTTTTCACTGGCCCACTGGCCCCTGTTTTTCTGGGCTTCCTCAACCGTTCACTCTTTGCTCTACCCGGGGACGGCTGTGTTGGGCACTGCCAGCAGGGAATGACTGTTCCTGGAGGCCAGGAATCCCTTGCCAATACTCGCAGCCCTGCCATTGGATAGGATCAGTGAGCAGACCCTGGGCTGATTGCGAGGTGGGGATTGGGAGAGGCCATGCTGGCAACCGTCTCCATCGAGAGGGAGAGGGGCAAAGAGCAGGAAATGTGACCTCGGGGGCAACTAGAGTGGACACGCGGGCAGTCCGCACAGCTTGGACTTGAGCTGTGATAAAAGCCAACCCTTGTGTCTCGGCTTGTGACCTGGAGACCTCCAGACGGTCACATGTTTCATTGATTGAAATGCACAGACCCCAGCACAGGAAGTCAGCCGACTCCAGCCTCGAGGGGCTCACAGGTAGAGGACAGGTGCAGCGAGGGGCTCGGCTTGCAGGGGGAGGCTCGGGACCACCAAGTCCCCCGAAAGGGTCTGGAGGTTTTGGCAAGAACTGCTCCCCAGAGTCTAAGAGCCCCGGTTTCCTGCTTTAACTGCCCGTCTGACTTTGGGGAGCTCCGGGGAGCATTCCCAGGGCCTGTGGCTTGGGCAGGGTTCCTGAGCGCACCTCTCAACCAGGGCTGACCTGGAAGGAGAGCCTGGCAGAACCAAGCAGCTCTGTGCAATCATGCGCCTTCTGTCTGGGCTCAAAGGGGCCACATGTGCAGGGAGAGCCCAGTGGAGTCAGAAGTGGGTCAGAGCCTGCTGGCGTGTCCGGGCCCTCTGCATCCCCACATCTGTGGACGACCAGGGCTCGGGCTGGGCCAGGGGTAGCCCTGCCTGCCAGGGTAGTGCAGACCTCCAGAGGGGACCAGGCCAGTGAGTGAGGTCAAAAGGAGCGTGAATGGGCCCTGTGTCCACTAGACGGTTTGGCAATTGTAGCATTAGAGGTTAAAAGTGTCCTTGGTGGCTCAGTAAAGAATCTGCCTGCACTGCAGGACACCCAGGTTCGATCCCTGTGTGGGGAAGATCCCCTGGAGGAGGGCATGACAACCCACTCCAGTATTCTTGCCTGGAGAATCCCCATGGACAGAGGAGCCTGGCGGGCTACGGTCCACAGGACTGAGTGATTCTTTCCCATTCCAGAGGTTAAAAGTTAAGCCTAGGGACTTCCTTGGTGGTCCGGTAGCTAAGACTCCATGCTCCCAATGCAGGGGACCCGGGTTCCATCCCTGGTTGGGGAACTAGATCCCACATGTCACAACAAAGGGTTCTCATGCTGCAACTGGGAATTTGATGCTGCAATGGAAGCGCTAGCCTGCCACAATGAAGATCAAAGATCCTGTGTGCCGCAACTAAGACCTGGTGCAGACAAATAAACAAGAAAACATGTTTTTATGTTATTCTTAAATAAATAAGAAAATATGAGGTGCTTCCTCTGGGTTGACTGGGTACAGATTTTAGTGTACCTAACCTTTTCTTTCTCCAAAATGTAGGTGAGTGTTGTCCCATGTTAAAAACATACTGTCTGAGGCTCAGAAGCAGTGATGTAACGTGTTTAAGTTGCTCACCTAGTAAGTACTAGAGACAGGATTGAAACTCAGGTCCCAGCCTGCACTTGCTGTCTGCTCCCTGCAGGGTTAGATCCACCCATGCTTAAGCTCTGATGCTGTGGGTTCCTGGCATCTGGCCTTGATGCAGTGATGGAGATGAAGAGAGGGCACCCTGTGCCTCTGAAGGCCTGTATCTCTGGCCTGGGAGGGTTAAGAACAGCTCTGACCAACAGGAATATGTAAATCTTATATTTCCTAGTTGTTGTGGTTCGGTCGCTAAATTGTGTCTGACTCTTTGCGATCCCATGGACTGCAGCAAACCAGGCTTCCCTGTCCTTCAGTATCTCCCAGAATTTTCTCAAATTCATGTCCATTTAATCACATGGAAGAAGTAAAAGACATCAGTGAAATGTGTTTTATTTATCCCGGTATAGCCAAAATATTACCATTTTCACATCTACTCAATACAAAACATCATCTGTGAGAGAGTCAACGTTTTTGTTGTTATTGTCGTTCTAAGCCCTTGCGATCCGGTGTGTCTTTTACCCATCAGTGTGGACTAACCACATCTCAGGCTCAGGAACCACCGGCTGGATCAGGCAGCCCAGGCTTAGACAAAGGGGAGGGTCCCCAGCTTCCTTGCCATCAGCTTCCTGGTCCCACCACAAAGCAATTCCCACCTCCAGGGTGGTACATTCCTTTGCATATTTCTCTCTCCACCCCCATGCCTCCCTTCTCCCCCGCCTCACCCCGCACCCAGAGCAGAGATTGCAGATACAGGTGGACCTCATCCGGAGCGTCAGAAGCCGGAAATTCGGGATCCTCCACCCAGCCTTCAGCTTGAGCAAGTACATCCGAGACTGTCTCCACAGACACCTCCCCGACAACATCCACCAGCTTCTCTCTGGAAAGATGGTCATCTCACTTACCAGAGTGTCCGACGGAGAAAACGTGCTGGTGTCGGAGTTTCATTCCAAAGATGAAGTCGTGGACGTAAGCAGTTTGTTTATCTGGGTACTGTCTAGGAAGGGCCATGTCGTTTTGGAAGCAACACAGGGAGGGGCTGTTGTAGACCAATCGGCCCCATTGTTTACTTAAGATGCAAGAGAACCTGGTTGCCCGTGATGCTGGCTGGCGTCACTGTACCAGACTGATGTAAACTGTGTGCCTCCAGCAGTCCAGTCCAGAGCATGTGCAAGCCTGGGGTGTCCCAGAAGGTGTCAGGTTCGGACAGTGTCTTCCCCTCCTTCCCGACTTGGATCATAAGCTCCTGCTCCAGGGACCTTAGGTGTGTGGCCCTCCTCCCAGCGATGCCTGTTCCTTAATCAGGACCTGTCCACTGAAAAAAAACCTGCCTGTGGTGCAGATAGATGCAGGAGATGCAGGCTCCATCCCTGGGTCAGGAAGATCCCCTGGAGGAGGAAATGGCACCCTGGTCCAGTATTCTTGCCTGGAAAACCCCATAGACAGAGGACCCTGGCGGGCTCCAGTCCACCAGGGTCACAGAGAGTCAGAGGCGACTGGGCAGGCAGGCATGCGGAAATAGTAAGTGTGTGGCCGGGCTCATTTTCATTCAACCATTTAGTAAAGCAGCGACTCTGCCAACAGCGCTTTCAGGCTTATTGCTCTCCTTGCTTGTAGAAGGCTTGTAAAGGCCCAGGGAATAAAAGGCTGCCTGCTCTGGGCTGTGCTGTGGTTTCACTCTCTTTTGTCTTCTCAGGCCTTGTATTGTTCCTCCTACATCCCTGTCGTCTTTGGCTTGATCCCGCCTTCCTTCAGAGGCGTGGTAAGTCCTTTTAAACTGTGTTCCTGGGAATCCCCTAGTGGTCCAGTGGTCAGGACTCTGCACGTTCACTGCCAGGGGCCTGGGTCCATCCCTGGTCCAGGAAATAAGATCCCATAAACATCTTTGGAAAAAAAAAAGGAAGACAAGGCAGTGGGTTCCGGCACCCTGGGCCCCTGAGACCTGTCCCTAAATGAAGAAAGCCTTTTGCCTCTGCAGTCCATGGGGTCGTAAAGAGTTGGACACAACAGAGTGACTGAGCGCTTACCGTGGAATATAGGAAAATGGATTCTCACAGTTCTTACCCCAAGTGCACCTTACCTGTGGGATAAGATGCCATGTTTTAAGAGCTCAGGTCCCAGGTTCACCACGTCAGTGCTGGCCCTCATTGCCCATGTGTGGACAGAGTCAGCACCACAGGTTAAATGTCTTGTCCGAGATTGCTCCAGCAGCTGGGGGCCCCTGGAATTGAACCCATGACATCTGTCTCCCTTTCAGCCAGATCTACATCACACTCTGCCCTGAGTGCACACAGCGCCCCTAGTGGATGCAAGTTACATGGACTCGCCTGGGGGCGCTCATGGCTGGGCCCAGCAACGTGGGCCAGATGCCGGCCTCCTGTGCCTCTGGACCTGGCACTGTTCTGGTGCAGTGCGCACACCACACAACAGCATGTGGCAGTCCTGAATGCCAGCCTGCAGCCTGGCCTGGCACAGAAATGCTCACTAGGGATTTGCTGCGAGTTGTTCCAAACTCCCTGTTCTCTCACTAGGGCTGCCTGCGGCTCTGAGAAGTCTCTGTCCCTAATCTGAAACACACAGAAAACTCCAGCCCAGAGCTTCTGACAGTGTGTGTTTTTTTTTTTTCTTCTTCCTGAAAAGCGATATGTGGATGGAGGAATAAGTGATAACTTACCCTTCATTGATTCCAAAACAACCATCACTGTGTCCCCCTTCTATGGGGAGAGCGACATCTGCCCCAGAGTCAAGTCCACGTTCTTACTTCACGAAGGCTTCACCAGGCTCAACATGCACTTTTGCACAGAGAACCTCTACCTGATGTTCCAGTCGCTCTTCCCCCCGGACGTCAAGGTGAGGGGGGCTCTGAGTTCTGGGGTGCTGCTCCCCTCTGCATCCCTCTTTGCCAGGGGACCCAGCAGCTCTTCAGGCGTCCCTGCTGGCTTACTGGGTAAAGAATCTGCCTGCAATGCAGCAGACGCGGGAGATGTGGCTTCAGTCCCTGAGTCGGGGGAAGGAAATGGCAAGCCACTCCAGTATTCTTGCCTGAAACATCCCAGGGACAGAGGAGCCTGGCGGGCTCCAGCCCAAAGGATCACAAAGAGTCGGACCGACTGAGCAGAGCAGCAAATGTTCTCCACACAACTAACTAAGTAACTAACTAGTTCTCCACGACTAACTAACCAGTGGCAACAAACCCCGTCCTGGAAAAGGGACTCAGCTCAGTGCTGCCACCTGCCGGTCACCAGAATCCCTCGGGGCCACTGAAACGGAGGGCTGGGGGTCGCCACTGAGATCCCACTTCCTGGGGCTGTGGCTTAAGTATCCACAGCCTGAATCCATCTGCCAGTGCACGAGATGCAAGAGATTCAGGTTGGGTCGCTGGGTTGGGACGATCCCCTGGAGGAGGAAATGGCAACCCACTCCAGTGTTCTTGCCTGGGAAATCCCATGGACAGAAGAGGCTGCGGGCTACAGCTCCATGGGGTTGGCAAAGAGTTGGACACGCCTGGTCACAGCACATCACAGCCTGGGCCGTAGGGTGTCTTTTTTTAAATTATCCCAATGATTCTCTTTTTAATTAATTAATTAATTAGGCTACACTGGGTCTTAGTTGTGGCACAAGCTCTAGTTCCCTGACCAGAGATTGAAACCCCCTGCCTTGGGAGTGCAGAGCCTGAGCCAGCGGACCGCCAGGTAAGTCCCCCAATGATGATTGGCAGCCACGGTCAAGAATTCCACTGCATTTGGTGGCTTAATCTTTTTATCCCCCCCAGCTGTGCCTTGAGACTTGTAGCATCTTAAGGGATTGAACTTGGGTTCTTGGCAGTGAAAGCGTGGAGTCTTAACTGCTGGACCACATGGGAAATTCCCCGTTTAATCTTTTCTTGGTTGTCACTATAGTGTGGTGGACCTTCCCACCCTCAGAGAGTAAGAAAGTTGGTAGAATCTGCACAGTGACAGCTCTCTGGGGAGAAAGAAGGCCATGCCATACGGCGTACGTGGCGGCGAGCGCTCATGGGTGGAGAGAAGGCTGGGCCACAGCATCGGGTGCCCGTGTGGTTTGAGTGCAGAGGAGGCAGGCCAATGTCCCACGACAAGCAGATCAGGCCCCGCTATTTGTGAGGATGGAGGCTTGTCCAGGGACCAAAGGAGACCAGAGGAACCAGCTCCAGTCATGCTGGGGCGCCAGACTGGGCTGTGCACGGAGCGGGTGTCGTTCGAGCTGAGTCCTGCCAGGAAGCGGGGCTGCCTTCTCCCGGGAGCGCGGAGCCCTGTCCACACATGGCATCGACTCGGAGCTCAGAGGATTCCCGGCTCTGTGCCTGCCATCTTCAGGTGATGTAAGGAAAGGAATGGCGCGTGATGACTCCGCCTGCGGTTAACTTCACGTGGTTTGTTCACAGGTGCTTGGAGAGCTGTGCCTTCAAGGATATTTAGACGCGCTCAGGTTCTTGGAGAAGAATGGTGCGTATGGTGGGGGTGACAGCCGTGCCCTTTGAGCCAGCTTTCTATTCACGGTCTTGGTCACGAGGGAAGCCGTGCTGGCTCCACCACCCAACTCTCAGCGCATTCACCTGCCATCTGGCTCGGCCCTGAGAGATAGGAAATCGTTGCCCCCATTTTGCAGATGGGGAGATGGAGGCAGCCATGGCCCGCATTCCGGGGAGCAGAGCTGGGATCAGCCCTGCTGACTCTTGCAGAGGTCACAGCCCCAGGATTCCTCTCCCTCTGAAGTGTCCCTGTCTGCCAACTGAAGGCAGCTCCTTTCTTTCTCATTACTGCTTGAACAATTGTGAACCTTTAGTTTGATGAGGAAGGGAGAGAAACGGTTTCTGGGTCCCAGGTGAAGACATCAGGAGAGCTGCCTCCAGCCAGGTGTGGGCCGCGTCCACCGGCCCAGCTGTGTTCTGGGGAAAGGTCCTGGCTAGTCTGGGCTGGGGAACTTGGGTTCTTCAAATATTAGTCTGGAACCAACTATTAGTTATGTTTTAAGCTATTTTTCCCCAGTATTAACGGTTGGTACAGTCGTTGATCCTCTGAATTAGTCTCTGTCCTAGACCAAGGAGCTGGTGTGGTTCATGGAATGCACATGTATTTATCTATTCAGAAAGCGCTTCCTGCATACCTTCTGGGTGCTAAGCAATTGACTGTGCGCTTGGGACTCCGCAGTGGATAGACAGATGAGGCCTCTGCCTTCCTGTAGCTCAGTCTTGAGACTGGGGAGGAGGGCAGGTACGTAAACAGAAGGCTGACGGAGAGCTCAGTGCCCTGGCAGGCACGTACAGGATGCTGTAGATTCAGATGCGGGGTTCAGGTGGGGGGCGGGGGGGTGTTCTGCAAGGAAGGGGAAAGCAGGGCTCCTGGGAGGATGCAAATCTGCAGTGATGCTTTGAGGGTGAACAGGAATGTTTTAGGAATGGGAGTATGTGAGCATGAGGCCTGCAGACAGTCTTGCAGGTGGATACAAGGTGTGTGTCACTGGAGTGCTGGGGGTGGCGGACAGAGGAACAGATTGGGGGAGGCAGGAATGGGGGTGAATGGAAAGAGGGGCAAGGCTGGGCCTTGAGGAGGTGGTGAGGGGCTTGGATCTCACAGCCATGGGGAGCCATGGAGGGCTGCTGACACTGGAGTGGGGGCAGGCAGAGGGAGATTTGCCAGGGCCCCTGGCCACACTACAGAGAGGGCAACATCCCCAGTCAAGGTGGCCACCATGGGCTCAGCCGGGGTCCCGGCAGAAAGGGAGGCGGAAGGGGCCGAAGGGGACAGGACTGGGAGACAACCAACCAGAGGTTCCCGAGGAGGAGGACTCGGGGATGAAGTTCTGCCCTTGGCTTCTGTGGTCAGGACTGGAGCAGAGGGCGGTGCTCACAGTTTGGGCCCTTGTGAGGGCACGGGTCCTGCAGGAAAGCTTGAGAGCCCCATGTGTGGTGCCCTGGGACAGATTTGGGTGACTGGGCAGGAGGCATTGGGCCTTCCCAGGTGGCACTCGTGGTGAAGAACCCACTTGCCAATGCGAGAGTTGTGGGAGATGCAGCTTCATTCCCTGGGTCGGGAAGACCCCCCTGGAGGAGGGCCTGGCAACCCACTCCAGTATTCTTGCCTGGAGAATCTCCATGGACAGGAGCCTGGCGGGCTACAGTCCATGGGGTCTCAGAGTCGGACACGACTGAAGCAACTTAGCATGCATGCACGCAGGAGGCATAGTGATGTCAGAATTCAAGGTTCTAGACAGCAGGCCTGGACTGGGATTGAAATTTGGGAGCCACCTGGGAATAAAAGACAATGAGGGACCCTATAGAAGTTGCTAGGTGACTCTGGGCAAGCCACTCCTCTCTCTGGGCCTCGGTTTCCACACCTGTAGCAAAAGGACTTTGGAGTAAATGATGCCAGCTGATGCTTAGTAATTCTAAATCCTGGCGTGGGGCTGGGCACTAGCAGCATTGGTGCTGGGTCTGGGTTTAAGGATCCAAGCAAGGTTCTGCCTCGGTCAGCCTGGCTTCCTTGGGGTTCCCTAGAGGATGCGTGGGGGCAGGGCCGGTGTTCCTGGAAACAGATTCTCTGAAACATTCCTAAGAGAGAATACGCCTCCAGAGGCTGAGCTGTGTGTCTGTAAGAGGCTGGAAAGATCCAAGGGTGTCGAAGTGGGAGGTGTAGCTTGGGAGTGAGGAGGGGGGCATGCAGGGACAGCCCCTGGGCTTTTAACCCCGAGGTTGGAAGCGAGAGGTGAGCCAGGGGAGGCATGGGCCTCCAAGTCTACCCGTCCCACCGTCCCCACCCAGCGTGAGAGCAGGAACCACCCACTGGGATCGGCCCCTGAGCGCTGGCATCCAGGGCAGGGCCATCACAGTCTCCCCGACCTGTGGCTTCTTTCCGAGGTCGTGTGATGGAAGGGTGCCATCGTTGACGTCAGACCTGGGTTCGAATCTCGCTCTGACGCGTGTCGGCTGTGTGACTTTAGGCAAATCGCTTCACCTCTCTGGGCTTCTGATTCCTCAGCACTCAGCTGGGAGCAGTTGCGTGGCTGCTGCAGGGTCTGGAACACTGGGCTTCACCAGTGGTTCGGTTGTTATAAATCAGTTATCATCCTTCCCTCTGAACCCACAGGCTGGTGAGTGACCGAGCCAGCTGCCCGCCTCATCCGTCCAGCTTCAGAGGCCCACACTGCGCTTTCCGCGTTAGGAAAAGGGCGGTGGAGCAGGGTGGATCCCAGGCGGATTATTCCCTGGTGGATCCCCGCCTTGGACTAACAACAGGCCTGTTAGCTTCCCTCTAACTGGGTGGGCGGGTTGGCTGGGCGAGTAGTGACCCCGCTGCCCGAAATCGCCTGATGGGTTTAGTTTCCGTGCCCTTCGCAGGCATCCGTGACGGGCCCCATCTGTGCCTGAGCGCATCCCCAGCAGAGTTGGAGCCAGAGGCGGAGCCAGAGAGCCTGGAGCCTTTTCTGGGCGTGGCCTCCTGGGAGGCGTGGCCTGAGCAAGAGGAGCTGCTGGAACGCTTGCGCCTCGGCGCGCTCTCCTGGGACAAGAGCCTCCTGGAGACCCTGTCGCCCAAGCTCACCATGGGTACTGGCTCTGGGGGTGGGGGTGGGGGGCAGCGCAAAGGAGGCGGTGGTCGGAGACCCTTTCAGAGCAGGAAGGGCGGCTTCCCCGTGAGCTGCGGCAGAAGGGGGAAGAAACAGGTGCTTGGGAAGAAACAGGTCAGAGTGGCCAGAGCAGGTTGGCCGGGACCCCCGGCTCCCCGCATGGACCTCCCATCCGCCTGAGTCCTTGCTCTGTCTCCCTTCCCATGCGGTCATGGCCAGAGGAAAACAAGCTCCAGCTGAGTTTGTATTTTATTTATTTATTTAACACCAAAGACATTTTATACTGGGGGAGAACCGATAACAGTGTCGGGAGAGTTTCAGGTGAGCAGTGAAGGAACTCAGCCATACAGGTATCCATTCTCCCCCAAACCCTCCTCCCATCCAGGCTGGCACATAACACTGCAGCTGGGTTGGTTGGTTGGTTTGTTTGTTTAAATTTATTTTCGGTTGCACTGGGTCTTCGTTCCATCTGGTCAAAGCTGTGGGTTTTCCAGCAGTCACGTATGGATGTGAGAGTTGGACTATAAAGAAAGCTGAGCACCGAAGCATTGATGCTTTTGAACTGTGGTGCTGGAGAAGACTCTTGAGAGTGCCTTGGACTGCAAGGAGATCCAACCAGTCCATCCTGAAGGAGATCAGTCCTGAATATTCACTGGAAGGACTGATGCTGAAGCTGAAACTCCAATACTTTGGCCACCTCTTGCGAAGAGCTGACTCATTGGAAAAGACCCTGATCCTGGGAAAGATTGAGGGCAGGAGGAGAAGGGGGCAACAGAGGATGAGATGGTTGGATGGCATCACCGACTCGATGGACATGGGTTTGAGCAACCTCTAGGAGATACTGAATGACAGGGGGGCCTGGCATGCTACTGTCTTCAGACAAGACTGAGCTGCTGAACAGCAGCAAAGATGAAAGGGATGCTGTTTCTTGCCTCAGGCACTAATTCCCTAGGAGTTGCAGTACCCAACAGCTGCTCCCGTTATTGTGATCTGAGGCATCGTGAGGTCATCACAAAGGGAAAATAGAAGGCTAGGGGTTCCGGGTGGAAGAGTGGAATCCAACTGCAGATGCAAAGAAAAGGTCATGAAGCCTGGGCTTGGGGGATTTCAGATGTTTGTGTCTGCCTCCAAAAGTAATTTAAAGTGAAGTGGGATTTCCATTCTGGAAGACTCAATGCAGTGACTAAGACTCATTTCAGGGGGCCCAGTTTGGATCCCTGGCCCAGGAAATGGATACCACATGCCACGACTAAGACTCAGCACAGCCAAGTAAATTTAATAAGTAAATTTAAAAATAAAGTAGTAATGAAAGCTGCTCAGTTGTGTCCAGCTCTTTGCCACACCATGGATTGTAGCCCAGGAGACTCCTCTGTCCATGAAATTCTCCAGGTGAGAGTACTGGAGTGGGCTGCCATTCCCTTCTCCAGGGAGTCAGTTAAAAAGAAACTCTTTAAAAGGGACCCTGTGTCCTGCTGGCGATCCAAGGGCTGTGTAGGCACATCCCACATCTGATCTCATTTGTGATAGCTTCTGATTCCTTCCCTGGTGACTCAGATGGCAAAGGACCCACCTGCGATGTGGGAGACCTGGGTTCGATCCCTGGGTTGGGAAGATCCCCTGGAGAAGGGAACAGCTACCCATTCCAGTATTCCAGCCTGGAGAATCCCATGAACAGAGGAGCCTGGCAGGCTATAGTCCATGGGGTCACAAAGAGTGGGACATGACTGAGAAACTTTCACTTTCACATTTTCACTTTCTGATGCGTAGCTGCCAGGATTGGTAGGATTTATAGACATTCCAGGCACCAGTGGGGGAAGGTGGTTTGGTTTCTATGCTGGTGGGAAACAGAACTCCGACTTGTGTTTTTCAGCACTGAGGAAGGCAATCAGAAACCGAGATGGGTACATAAACAAGATTTTCAACTTCTTACCAATTAAGATCATGTCCTATGTGATGCTGCCCTGCACGCTGCCCGTGGAGTCTGCCATCGCTGTGGTCCAGAGGTGAATGCTTCCTGTGGCTTTGTGGCTTCCTCTCAGGGCTAGGGGCTAGGGTGAGGATTCAGCCCAGAGCCTGGCTCCTTACCCATCTGGGTGGAGATAACAGTCTGCGTGGAACACCCTGGAAAGGCGCCTGGTTGGCGAGCCCCTGGCCAGCCCGCCGCCTAGGTTTGTCACTTCTTGCAGGTCTACGTTTTTGGGAGGGAAGGGGATTTACTCTTGGTGTGTTGGAAGGATCCCGAGGCCTACGCTGTGTGGCTGCTAGGTTCCTGGGCATTTGTTTTCCCTCCGTTTTCTTCACGTTTTCTTTAGTGTTTATTTACTTTTTAGCGAATTAGTCAGCATGTCTTTCAATCTGTCTTTTTAAAAGTCCCAAAGTGAAAGTGATGGTCGCTCAGTCATGCCCGACTCTTTGCGACCCCACGGACTATACAGTCCATGGAATTCCCCAGGCCAAGAATATTGGATTGGGTAGCCTTTGCCTTCTCCAGGGGATCTTCCCAATCTAGGGATCGAACCAGGGTGTCCTGCATTGCAGGCGGATTCTTAACCAGCTGAACCACAGGGGAAGCCCAGGAATCCTGGACTCGTAGCCTGTCTCTTCTCCAGCAGACCTTCCCGACCCAGGAATAGAAGCAGAGTCTCCTGCGTTGCTAACAGGTTATCTCCCAGCTGAGCTATGAGAGAAGCCCTTCAAAGTCCCAGCCGTCCTTAAACGGCAGCTCGGTTCTCTGGCTCTGCTAGACCTCCCAGGCCACGCCCCAGCCCTACCAGTCAGCCACCCGCCTCGCCCTCCTTCCTTTTGTTTAAAAAAGATAGTTTGATAACTTCTCTTATTTATTCATTGTGGCTGTGCTTGGTTTTCAGGCCAAGAAGCGCTCGGGCTTCTCTGGTTGTGGCAAGGGGCTTAGTTGCCCTGTGGCATGTGTGATCTCAGTCCCCTGACCAGGGATCAAACCCTCGGCCCCTGTAATGGGGGGCAGGTTCTTTACCACTGGACCACCAGGGGAGTCCCTTGACATTTCCTTTTTGTATTTTGTATTTTTTTAATTTTTTTTTAACACCAAAAACATTTTGCATTGCGCTATAGTCAATGAACAATGTTGTGAAGTTTCAGGCGAACATTGAAGGAACTCAGCCATACGAATACACGTATCCATTCTCCCCCAAACCCCCGTCCCCACCAGGCTGGCACATAACATTGAGTGGTGTTCCATGTACTATATAGTAGGTCTTTCTTTCTTCTTTTTTTTTTAAGTGCAAGAGACCCAGATTTGATCCCTGGGTTGGGAAGGTCCCCTGCAGAAGGGAATGGCAACCCACTCCAGTATTGTTGCTTGGAGAACCCCAGGGACAGAGGTTCCAGTCCACGGGGTTGCAAAGAGTCGGACATGACTGAGCAGCTAACACTTTCACAAAATGTTTGTTTATTTTTGGCTGTGCTGAGTCTTCATTGCCGCATGGGCTTTTCTCTAGTTGCGCTGAGTGAGGGCCGCTCTCTAGTTGCAATGCATGGCTTCTCTTTGCAGTGACTTCCCTCCCTGCTGAGCACTGGCTCCAGGCACGTGGCCTTCAGCAGTTGTGGCTCCCGGCCTCCAGAGCACAGGCTCAGCAGCTGCGGTGCGCGGGCTTAGCTGCTCCGCGGGCTGTGGGATCTTCCTGGAGCAGGCTCCAACTCACGCCTCCTGCACTGGTAGGCGGGCTCCACCACTGAGCCGCCAGGGCAGTCCTCTGCTGACATTTCTTAAAGCCCGAGACACGGGGTCCTTTTGTGTCTGGGGTGTTGGAGGCCTGGAGGGCAGAGTCAGGCCTCCTTGGCAGCTTCCTCTGTGGGCGCCCATGTGCCTGAGCACCTTCCATGTGGGTGCAGGGGGTGGTGTTTCAACAAGGAGATGCTGTGTGTGTCAGGGTCCACGCTGACCCAGAGGAGCGGGGTCTTGGAAGACCCAGGCCTTTTATCTCCATGTAAGTCCCTTGAGCTTTCCTGAATGCAAAGTGGCCTCATTTTGCTTTAGGGCTTTTAGGTGGGCTTGCCTTGCGGAATTTATCAGCGTGGGGTTAGAAGTGACCCTGGCCGTTTACCTGGATGATGGCACTGTCGTCAGACGTCTGCCTTCGGGTGGGGTTTCTTCTTGTCCTTTCTGTTGTGGCTTGTCTTCACCCGCAGACAAGGCGTGTGTCTCTGCGCTTCCTTCCTGCAGACTGGCGGCGTGGCTTCCAGACATGCCCAGTGACATCCAGTGGCTGTGCTGGGCCACCTCCCACGTGTGGTCTCAGGCCGCGGTGCGTCTGCTCCCCGCTTCCAGGTGGGTGATGTGGCTGTGGGCCTGGGGGTCCACCAGGCACCCTCCCATCTGCTCAGGCCTCACGCGCCTTCCTTCCTGCAGACTGGCGGCGTGGCTTCCAGACATGCCCAGTGACATCCAGTGGCTGTGGCAGGCCACCTCCCACGTGTGGTCTCAGGCCGCGGTGCGTCTGCTCCCCGCTTCCAGGTGGGTGATGTGGTTGTGGGCCTGGGGGTCCACCAGGCACCCTCCCATCTGCTCAGGCCTCACGCGCCATCCTAGGAACGTCATCGGGCCCTGGAGAGGTGGCAGGGGTATGTCCCCTGGTGCCGGACCTTACGGGAGGCAGCTGAGCCCATCTGGGGGGCCCAGTGCCCCTGCTGGGAGCTAGTGACCAAGACTCAGCTGCAGAGGGTGTGCTGACGCCTGGGGGGGTGTTTCCGCGGAGCATCATTTTTTAAAAGTGATTTATTTAGCTGGGCCAGATCCTAGTTTCAGCACGTGGGATCTTGAGTTGTGGCATGTGGGGTCTAGTTCCTTGGCCAGGGATCAAAGTCTGGCCCCCTGCACTGGGATCACGGAGTCTTAGCTACTGGACCGCCAGGGAAGTCCCCCACTGAGGCCATCCTGATGGCAGAGAGGAGAGAGCTGGCTGATGGAGCAGGGGCACGGCCAATGGACAGGTAGCATTGGTTTGCCTAAAGGGAGTGGCTCTGGGTACCTGTAGAACTTCGAGGCGGTGGGGCTGGGAAAGGGGTCAGGGCCCCTCCGTGTGTGTGGGGGGGGGGGCAGGGCCCCTCCGTGTGTGTGTGTGTGTGTGTGTGTGTGTGTTGTCGTTGGGGGCGGGGCAGGGGGGGCTGCTGCCTCTTAATGCAGGTTCCCGTCTGACCTCAGACTCCCTGAATCCCGGCCTCTTGGGTTAGAACCTGGCCATCCGCATTGTTAACATGGCCCAGGTACTAATGCTTCCTGAATTCTGAAAACTAATGAGCAAGAAGGGCCTGGTTCCAGTAATGACTCTGGGATTTTGTTCCGAAAGTCGTGGACCTTGGCTTTCTCCCCTGTTCCCTGGGGTGATCTTCTTCTCATTAGGTGTCTGTGAGGCTTTGAGGAACGCCCAGCTCAGTCCTGAAACATGGCAGGTGCTCGGGAGAGAGCCCTCCAGTGTTTCTATTAACAGACATGGAAGGTTTGAAGTAGGGATGGAGGGGTCTGGCTTGTGCTGGGAAAATGCAGTAGTGGCCTTGCGGAGGCCGGATCCCCAGAGACGGCAGCAGAACTCGCCCAGCGAGGGGAAGGGCTTGCTCTCCAGTGAAACTGGAGGCCTGAGCGATGTTCCTAGGCTCCAGGCCAGAAGGAAGATAGCAGTTTTGAGGCCTTGCTGAGCTCCAGGCTGGTCGACAGGCAGGAGCAGGGGGCGGGGTGATGGCAGTGTGGCTGCAGGGAGCCACCCTGGTGGGTGAGCTGGTGTGTGTGGGGGTGACTGATGGGCTCCTCCGGGCCTGTGCATGTCCAGTGGGGGAGGGCCACAGGTTTGGAGGCCTGGGATGGTGTGATGTCAGCGCAGCACAGGTGGGGGGACGCGAAGCGGTGGACTCGGGCTGGGCCACCCTGCAGACCCCAGACCATGTGACAGCATCCCCCTCCCGCATCCCCAGTGACACCGCACACCAGAGTGGCAGGTCGGTGGCTGAGTCAGAATTCTTCGTTTGTTTCAGATCCCAAATCCCAGCAAGCGGCCAACAGCCTTCCTCCACAAACCGCAACACCATGGGCGCCACCAGGCTCCCTGCTCCTCCGAGGACGCACAGAGGCCAGAGCTGACATCTGTGATGTACGCAGAATGACCTCCGTGCTGAGTTTGTAGTGTCCTGAAACCAAAGGCAATCTTTCTGTCTTACAAAAAGCTAGGAGGCGACTCTTGGTGTGTGCAGTGGGTGCGGAGCTCAAGGATACCCAGGATATGAGTCTCTAAGTATTGTCGGCTTGGTAGGGAAACCGCACAAGGGAGACAGGCGTGGGGGCATCAGTGGCTGACTTGTCACCCACACAGCTGTCCCACGGAAGGTTCCTAGGACGGCTGGTGTTTGGATCGGGGAACCTTGCGGCGGGGGGCTGGGCTGCCCTTTGTGCAGTCTCGGGGGTTGCGGGGGAGGACGGTGGTCCCATCTCTCCATACAGGAAGCAGTAAGTGGGGGGCGAGGCAGGCTGCCATCCTCCCAAGGACACCCCTGGTTAGGGGGGACATTATGAGGTGGTAACTTACTTGCGCTCTGATACATCTTTCTGACCTATTCTAAATATTTGGTGGAGTAATATTAAACATAACTCTCGGTAGGCACTGAGAGAGGGCATCAGAGGGCAGACACGCTAAAACCATAATCACAGAAAACTAGCCAATCTGATCACAGGACCACAGCCTTGTCTAACTCAATGAAACTAAGCCATGCCGTGTGGGGCCACCCAAGACGGACGGGTCATGGTGGAGAGGTCTAACAGAATGTGGTCCACTGGAGAAGGCAATGGCAAACCACTTCAGTATTCTTGCCTTGAGAACCCCATGAACAGTATGAAAAGGCAAAATGATAGGACATTGAAAGATGAACTCCCCAGGTCGGTAGGTGC